TACTTCCATCATCAGGCGCCACACCAGCACCTCCGTTCCATCAGCAGGGGCCACACCAGCACCTCCGTTCCATCAGCAGGCGCCACACCAGCGCCTCCGTTCCATCATCAGGCGCCACACCAGCGCCTCCGTTCCATCATCAGGCGCCACACCAACGCCTCCGTTCCATCAGCAGGGGCCACACCAGCACCTCCGTTCCATCATCAGGGGCCACACCAGCACCCCCGTTCCATCATCCGCGCCACACCAGCACCTCCGTTCCATCATCAGGCGCCACACCAGCACCTCCATTCCTCCATCAGGCGCCACACCAGCACCTCCGTTTTATCATCAGGCGCCACACCAGCGCCTCCGTTCTGCACTGCCACTGTAGGGCGAGAACGAACCCTGTCATTGCGTTGTGCAGTCGTGAGACTAGTGTACACAGCAGGGTAGCATGTAGTCATCTTATTTAGCTATACAAGTGGATGTTCAAAATATAAGTGCTTCATCTGTTAGATTATCACCGCTTGTATTATTATTTAAGACTTCATTTCTACTCACAAATCCATGTAATTTTTTCGAGCGTAGTTTTTGTTGTTGACACACGTGGCTCTCTCGCTCGGTTGATAGTCTGACTAGTGCTGACCTGAAAGGTTGCATCTGAATTGGACAACACAGAGCTACAGCAGTGGTATAATATATTAGGGCGAAGGAGAGGGATTAGCAGTGGTGAGTGATTGGGGAGTCATACGTGAAATAAACCCGATTTTCTGAGTCTTCCTGCACCCCCTAAAACTGCCTTCCTGTACAAAAAGGGGGAACGTGCATCCCACGTTGTTAAAGACCGCTACTATAAGTTATACCGTATTTTCCGGCGTATAAGACGACCCCCTAATCTTCCAGGAAAAATATTGGTTTTGGGATATCCTCGCCGTATAAGACTACCCTCTTACTACATTGGCGCGCACGCGGCCCGGTGGCGGCCTCGGCGGCCTCTTCACTCACCGGGATTCCCCTCTATACCCGGTACCGACCACCCGGTGGGCCTGGCACCGATCTGGCTACCTCTATACCCGCTACCAACCACCCGGTGGGCCTGGCACCGATCTGGCTACCTCTATACCCGCTACCGACCACCCGGCGGGCCTGGCACCGATCTGGCTACCTCTTGTACAAGGTATGGAGCCTCCGGCGGGCATAAAAACTATATTTCAGCCATTGTACCCGGCGTATAAGACAACCCCCCAAGTTTTGGCACCATAATTTGGGTCTACAAAGTCGTCTTATACGTCGGAAAATACGCTACATTATAAAAGAAACAAAGGTTATTGTTAGCCTTTATTAAATAGGGAATGTTATATAGAGAAATCTTTTCGTTTTCTCCAGCTTGATTACGTACATACGTTGGGTAGACGGACACTTATAAACTCATTTGAACAACCCTTCTCGGGAGGTGAACATTTTTCTAAAAAAACGGCCCTGGGTACAAGAGCTGTGCACTTCTTCGCTAATTGGTCAGTAGACCTGATTTGATCACTGTAATCTCCTCGACTGCCCAAGGTGCGTCATGCCCCCATTGAGATGGGAAGTCCCGAATGGTGCGTCATCGACTCATTAGATGGGGGCAGTCCGTGTGACAAGTCCCAGCTGGTTGGTCCACTTCTCAGTCTGCTGGAAGCACAAGAACATCAAAGAGATATAGCGCTACTTTCTTTGGCTTGAACTTGTGACCTTTTACCATGGGTTATTGATACACGTGACGGAGAGTTTCGTGATGTTGTATTTTTCTTTCGAAAAGTTCAATATCAACAATGATAATTAAAAAAATAATATAAGCGTTTGCAGGGGATTTGGGGGGGGGGGGGGGGGGGAGAGGAAAATACTTGAACATTTGATCGCTAAATAACAAAAGGATATTTGATTGGGTTAGACATTGGGTGGATCTCAAATTGACTAACACCAAACAAAGATGAATGGTTTTTTTTTTTGTTTAAATTATTATTCACACGCTGTGTCTAATCTTGGTACGAGCCGCAGTGGCTGTGGATAAAATCATAGACATTAAAAATTCGCATACAAAATCTCCACAAATATTCGGTAATCTGTGTAGAATTATAAACAGAACTAATCTAAATGTATGCGTCTTTTGACAGGCTTTTGATTAGGAAACTGATATGAAATTACGTTTGCAAAAAAAAAGTGCTTTTCACAAAAAGAACTAAAAAATATTTAAAAAAAGTGGATTATATATATATATATATAAGAATAAGCTTATGTGTGAAAATTTAATCTTTAACAAAAGATACATAGCATTTTTTATTTCCCGAAAATACAATTTATTGGTGGGACAATTTTGGGGTTTTAAGATTTTCTTTAGCTGTAAGCAAATCTTTGTTTTCCTATTTTTAACCAAAATCAAGTTTAGAGCCATGGGGAAAAGTTTATAAAACTGATGATAGATCTTAAAAAAAAAAAAACCAAGACTTTTATACAAGAACATTTGGGTACGGTGGCTTTAAATCTATGGTTTGAACGATCTTCAGTTGATTGATTTTAAGATTTTCTTTAGCTGTAAGCAAATCTTTGTTTTCCTATTTTTAACCAAAATCAAGTTTAAAGCCATGGGGAAAAGTTTATAAAACTGATGATAGATCTTAAAAAAAAAAAAACCAAGACTTTTATACAAGAACATTTGGGTACGGTGGCTTTAAATCTATGGTTTGAACGATCTTCAGTTGATTGGTTTAGAAGCGAGGCTGAGGCTAAGTGAATGTTTACTGAAGGTACCAGTATATTTAAGTCTCTTAATGATACATATATTTAAAACGGTAAACATTTTTATTTGTATAGTTAGGGCATGATTTTAACTTTTTTTTTTAATGATAATTTTCTTTGTAGTTGAGGGGCGTGAAAAATGTTTGGTCGATATTATTTAGAAGCAAAGAATTTGCTTAAAATTCAATGATGTGAGAAACTGAAATATCTATAAATAGATTCGTCTGTAAAGATAACTAAGATCTGGCTTACTATTAAAAAACCGATGTTGCATTTTCATACGTATACCCATACCTTAAATATACATATAGAAACTCAATCCTTTTACACATGTGTCAATTTAATCTTTGGAATGGATTTATACTTTTTTCCCCCTTTTCAGTTCATGGGCGCGACTAAAGGTGTGTTAATGTATTTTTTCAAAAGATGAAAACATTTTTTATTTGCCCTTTGCAAAAAAAGTAAAGTGGGTGTACATTTTTAAATGAATGAAATAGCAAAACGAGGTATGTGGAAGCTTGAAATAAGATAACAGGAAAAAAAAAACAAGGACGTTTCGGCATAAAGCCTTCCTCAGCCAACAGTAAAAATGAAAATATAAAATTTTAATGAGATTATAATTTTTCTTTTTTTTTTTAAGTAAATCTCGTTGTTATGTTACAGACACGAACGTGGGTTAAGAGATTCTTCTTTAGAGAACAGAACTATGTCTTTTACGATTTTCCGACAAACAAGGTTTGGTTAGGTCTTCAATAAAGATACCAATATATCACATTTCGTTGTCGTAAAAAGATCTTTAAAAATGGTCTATAGATTGTATTGCAAGGTAATTTTTTACGCTCGAAAAAAATAATAAATGTAGTTCATGGGCGAAAAAATGGGGTAAGGTTGGCGTATATATATATATATATATATATATATATATATACGAGAAAAATAGAAAAATATTTCTCTAGTTCTGCTTCTGGTAGTGTTCATTGCTGCATCCATATACTGGCATCTGTGCAATGGAGAAAAAAATAATAAATGTAGTTCATGGGCGAAAAAATGGGGTAAGGTTGGCGTATATATATATATATATATATATATATATATACGAGAAAAATAGAAAAATATTTCTCTAGTTCTGCTTCTGGTAGTGTTCATTGCTGCATCCATATACTGGCATCTGTGCAATGGTTGGGGAAGCGATGTTGCGATTCTAACAGCTCCTACCAGATGCCATAGCAGCCTTGAAGCTTTCGGCCGATGTTGAGTCTACAGCGGCATTGTCCAGGTGGTTCCAAGCAATTATTGTGCGTGGGAAGAATGATTGCTTATACTGCACTGTGTTACACCGAGGCACAGTAAAGCATTTGCTATTGTTTCGGGTGTTTATGGGGTTGTCAGTGTTGAAGTCAGTGTTCAGTGAGCGTTTGGCTCTGATCAATCGACCCGGCTTCTGTGGGATGAGGTACTGTAGCGTATTTGTATGGTGAACGAACGGACAGGACATCAGCTTAGTTACTTTCTCTTTATTTTCTCTTTACTTTAATAAATTTGTTGTCTATTTTTGTTTAAAAATTTTCTATCCAATCCATCCAGGGGGGGGGCAAGTGCCCCCCTTGACTCCCTCCCCCCTACGGGCGCCCATGGTTGTTACACAGACCACAGACGGGTCGGCATCCTATTTTACTATTATAATAACTTCGGATCATATTTTTCTAGTTTGTTTGAGATGATTTAATCAGGTAGAGATGAGTTCTCCCACATTTCCTTGCATTGCTGTTGTGGGTGCCGAGCGCATTTTGGAAAAAAAGTGTCTTTATAAGAATAAAATTAATTTGTTTTGTAATTTTTAGTATTTTTATCTTTTATTTATAATGACTTGTTACCTGTTTGTATTGCTATTGGTGGGGGGGGGGGGGTAATTGTATTAAAAACTTGGCAGTTCAATCGGCAATGTGGGACAGGGACGAAACTGAGGCGCGAGATGTGACAGGCAGGTGTCCCTAAAAGGTCCGTGGAGGTCTAGCGTCAGCTACTTATCATAAGTTTTGGATTGTCCTGCGGGTGGGTAAGTCTACCAATGATTAGCTCAGTTTGAGACCCGCGAAGGGGGGTCAATGAAGATTGTACTATATGCGTTCAGAGAACCTAAGAAACAAAAAGCGTATATGAAAAACTCAGGAGAGAGAGCTTTGTAAAAGCCAGAGCAGAGGGGGACACAAATTCAGAAACATCAAGACAACAAAAAGAAAAGATGATTGCAACATGAAACTTCTTTGCGTTTTATTGTTCAGGCGGTGGAACAGGCTGATGAGATGAACAAATGAAGCAAACACAACACTCGAAGTTTAATGTTCAGTAGTTTTTTTTTCAATTTTTTATTTCATAGCTGAAATGTCGAATTGTTTCAATTGTTTTAAAATACTCCATGAACTTCAAAGGTTTTAGTTTTAAGCCCCGTCACGCCATGACTCAGTCAAGGGCTCTCATGACTCATCCGAAGATGATGCCGTTGTCGGCGATGTGCGTCAGAACACGTGGTGGGATCAGGACGCCGTCGATGACGTGGATGACGCCGTCGGTGGCGATGATGTCGCGTTGAATGATGTTCGCCTTGTTGACGGTCAGGCCGCCAGCTGTGGGAGGCAGTCAATATCATCAGGCACCCACGGCGTACGGTGGTCGGTTATTTACAAAAATAATTGAATACAATAAAAATAAGCATTAGCTTGTCAATTGTGTGAAGTACGTTAACAACAGAATACACCAGCTGTTTTCTAACGAAGCTTCGCATGACACATTTCTTTATCGCCAGGAATAACAAGTGTGTCGGTACAATTTTATAGATATATAGAGAAAAAAATATGGGTCAACGTACTTAAAAAGTAAGACACTTCTAAGACATCTTATCCAATAGATTTAGCTTGTCATATTCAGGGACACATGTCCTCTTCTAATCTAATCTACCAAAGAAAATGGAAGTTCGAGCAAACATTAGCTGTATTGTGAACGCACTGAATGTACCAATTCGACTCTCTCTCTCTCTCTCTCTTTTCATCTCTCTCTCTTTTCATCTCTCGCTCTCTCTCTTCTCCATCTCTCTTACCGAAGGGGAAGGCCGAGAAGCTGCACATACGGATAAACTGACTTGGCAGTCTCACGGATATGTCGTAGAGGGCTACAGGAAAGCTTTCTATGCAGTTGGGATGGTGGCAGTCTCACGGATATGTCGTAGAGGGCTACAGGAAAGCTTTCTATGCAGTTGGGATGGTGGCAGTCTCACGGATACGTCGTAGAGGGCTACAGGAAAGCTTTCTATGCAGTTGGGATGGTGGCAGTCTCACGGATATGTCGTAGAGGGCTACAGGAAAGCAAACTCTGAAACTAATAATTTTTATCCTGTAAAGGCCACCAAAGCCCATTTTGGTGCCCCCCACCAGGCAATAGTCCGGGGACATCTGGTGCCCTCAGAGGCCACTGTCACTTCCCCCACCGAGAAAAACCTGAAATCCCCCCCCCCCCTCTTTTTTCCTTTTTTTCCACGAATTGGAAATTGTCAGAAAGGAACACTGCAGCGGAGACCCATTTTGGTGCCCCCCACCAGGCAATAGTCCGGGGACATCTGGTGCCCTCAGAGTCCACCGTCACTTCCCCCACCGAGAAAAACCTGAAATCCCCCCCCCCCCTCTTTTTTCCTTTTTTTCCACGAATTGGAAATTGTCAGAAAGGAACACTGCAGCGGAGGGTTAGGAGTCACATAATAGGTGGTGCGGTACGAGAGCCTTATTTGTTACTTTCAGTGACCTCCGAGCTTTGTATGTGATCGGATGCTTAGGTCGAGGGTCGTGCAATGTGTTATACTGAGATGACCTCCCTTGCTCTTTACCCTTTGATCATGAGCTACTCACCGCCGTCTTGAAAGATCATCAGCGGGTCCTGGTGGGAGTCAGCCGAGTTCAGGCTCTGTGTATGTTGCATTCCGATACTGAAGAGGGTCTCAGCTCTGACCACGTGATACTTCAAGGTATCTGGAAATTATGCAAATAAAATTGTTAAATCAGACGGTCGACACGTGCGAGATGTACGCGGTGTGAAGTGAGTAACTCGATGACCAATGCAGAGGTCATCCAGGTGGGTACTCACCGGCCAGGTCTGCGTGGTGACTGTTCAAGTACGCTGTCGCGGCCGTGGGCAGTTTGGCAAAGGCAGCGTTGTTGGGTACGAAGATTGTGACGTCCTTATCAGCTGGTCCGGGAGATTTGGGGGTAGTGGAAGGGAAAATTCAGATAGTTAACCACTACAAAACATGAGACGAAACAAATACAACATTTAAAAAAAAAATTCTGTGTGTTCTTTCATACCGCTTTAAATTTTTTTGCTATCTATAAAAAATTCTATGTTCGTAAACTTATAGCATCAATTATAGTTTTAAATTGTTGTTTTTTTTATTTGTCCTTTCTGTGTGCTTTTTGTTTGACTCTTTCCCGATTTTTTTGTTAGCATAGTTGAAATAAGTTGTTTGTTTTTTTGTGTTGCTTGCATGAACTGATCAGCAGCGTGTAAACAGTGACTAGGTCGTAGGGGGCCAAGGTGTACACATCACAATGTTTGTACCACCAAATCAGAGCAGGTCCACTCTCTTCGTGGACATCAAACTACTGATCAGCATGATGTGTTACTTGCCCGATCAGACTGCGATGTCTAGTTAAATATATTGGCAAGTCTTAACGGGCTTATCAAACATCACGGCATACCGACTAGTGTAAGGTTTGGAACGTGGAACAAGATATATTTAGGCTTGAAATGAAAAGACAGGACCATTCAACGAACGTTTCGGCGACATGCCTTCTCCTGCAGACGATACAAAAACAAGAAAGAACGGATACTTAAAGTATATATAAATAAAAACGTATGTTTTCGAAAAATCTCAAAGTCAACGTATGTCTAGAGGCGTTCCTTTTGGTTTGACCAGCTAGGGAATGATCCGCCTGTGGATCTACCTGATAGCATATTTCTCACTGGAATAGAAAGAAAGGGGGTATGTTTGTGGGGATTGTGTGCCCTCTTTTGATAAAAGTTACTCAATCTGTGTTATAATTCATGACTGAATTAATTTAATTATTTGGATACAGTTAGTGGACCACGTAAAATTCTACACAAGAAGACGTCGGCGATCTTCAGACCACAGTTTGAATTCACGTTTTCTGCTATTGTCTACCCACCGGTGAAAAAGTTGAGAAGATTGGCGCTGACCAACAGGGAGGTGAACGTGCTGAAGTCGGTGCGGTTCAAGCTGATCTGGATGGAGCTGAACGAGGGAGGCGTCAGGACGCCGTCGAGGCCGTGGGCCAAGCCGTGGACGATGGGGATGTTCTTGATGGTGATGTTGACACCATCCGCCGTCTGTGTCTGTTAGACAACAAAGACCAACAACAGAGAATTAAAGGGAACTGGAGTTCAAAGGATGGCTGCTCCTCTCAAGGAAAGCCACACAACTAAAGTCAAATGTGTGTTTTATATCTTGGAATACCTCAGCTCTATTATCTGTTGGTGTAGTTGTGATAAATTAATGAAAATATGTAACACTGTATGATTGTTAACATGAATGGTTAGGGTAAGTAAAGGACACATGTGCTTATGTGTAGATTATTTTAGGAATAAAATAATCAAATGTATCTTAATCAAAGGGGTGGGAAGGGAGGTGACCGAAGCGGTGGTCCGGTCCACCCCAAGGGGCGCTCTTTTTCTTTAAATTAAGCAGCGTTATTTTTTGGCAATCTGCAGAGGGTGTGGAAAAACTCTTGTCCCCCCTCCCCCCCCCACCACCAGTGGCCCTAACCCTAGCGCCGCCGTTGATCTCAATGACGTGACTACTCACGTGCACAATAGGGTAGGTGTTGATCCTGATTTGGTGGTTGTTGGCGGACTTCAGCACGTCGTCCTGCTGCACCCCGTGGAGACGGTAGTTGGTGGTCAGCACCAGGTGGGTCTTGACCAGGTCGGTGAGTCGGGCGGGGTCATTCTTGATGGCCTCAAACACGTCCGGGGACAGTTTGGCGAAGGCGCTGTCGGTGGGGGCGAACACGGTGAAGTGGGCAGCTGGGTTTGTGGAAAGGAGAACAATCGCACACATGCTAATTAAATGCCACAACTCTACCGAATAACCAACAAGCCTTAATAAACACATGCTAATTAAATGCCACAACTCTACCGAATAACCAACAAGCCTTAATAAACACATGCTAATTAAATGCCAACCGAGTATATTCTCTAATCCCTCTGTCTGTTATCGCTAAGGGTGCATATCCGACCCTCATTTCCTTCTCCCGTTACCAAATGAATACACACACAAAAATAACATTTAATAGTATTCTCTGATAAAACATTTTTTAAAAAAAGTGTTAAATTAAATTCTCATGAAAATCTTAAATATTGGGAACAGTATTTCTGACCTGATTTTATGAGCATGTTCCCAATTTTATGAGCGTGTTCCCAACTTTATGGGCGTGTTCCCAATTTTATGAGCATGTTCCCAATGTCATAAGCCCGTTCCCAATTTTATGAGCCCGTTCCCAATTTTATGAGAGTGTTTAGTAAAAATCATAGAGCAGCATTGTTGATCAATAGTTCACGAACTCTGTTTAAACTACTCAACTATCGTTTTCATTTGCATGGATGGTTTCAAAGCAAGAAAGCCAAGTTTCTGACTTAGAGCTCTGAACACAGTCAGCCATTATGTGAGCACGCTTTGAGTATGTGTGAACACAGACGGCTAAAATGAATCATCATAAGGTTTAGCTTTTAAGTAGATTAACATGACACCAACAATTTCTTTATTACGATATAAAAAAATACCAAGAATGTTGATTAAGATTTACGTAATCAGTTTATAATATACTAGCTGTTACTTTAGAGTAATTGAAAGAATGGAAACAAACAAAAGAATTAGCTGCTTTTGATTGTTATGTTATCCCGAAGAAGGCGTTTGGCCGAAACGTTTAAATATATATTTTCTCTTATAATTAAAACCCACTTATTGATCTGTTTTATTTTTAAAAAAATTAATTTCTCATTGATTAGCAAAAATTAACACCCGCCTGGCATCAAGAATGAAGAGTTGCTAGTCATAAAGTTACTTACTTGCGTTAATTGTTGGGAGTAGTCCTGATTTGGTCAACAGATCTGTGAAAACTGTGAAGTGTCCATTTGCTGTTAGTCCTGCGATGATATCAGGAACTGAAAAGAGAAATGGTCTATCTTTATACGTCTTGTTTTGTGGCAAGTTTTTTAGGTGTGTGTGTGGGGGGAAAAAGGGGGGGGGGGTTAAATTTGAATGTGCTTTGATATGACTTTCTTATTTGCAACTAACGAGAGCGTAACTAAGGGGGGGGGGCGGGGTAGTGCATGTAACGGAACTCCCCGCCAATACAACTGGTCCAGAACGCATACTTACATCTGGGTGCAACTGTGGTTTGGGCACTGGCAGCAGTCACCAGGGCTAAGACGGCAAGGAAGAGCTTCATGTCGGACAACTGGGCAAGTCTGCGGTGATCAAACTGACCCAAAGAATTGTACTGACCAATAAATTGTAGGGGCGGGAGGGGGGCGGTGGTGGGGTAAGGAATTGTTAATTGTATCAATAAATTATTCTAATGGATTCATCGGAGGCCTTGGCATAGATTAATAAATGCAAAGAACATTTTAAATATAAACTTGTTATAGACAAGTATAGATAGATCAATGACTCATTTTAACGGCCCTAGGGTGACTTCAAGACATTGCCATTTAACTTTAATAAAACTCACAAACAGTAATGAATTTTATTTATATTATTAAATGGCCTCAAAAGTTATACTTATTATATATATATACATATACATATACATATATATATGTGCAATGAAAACAAACACCAGCAAAAAACAACAACAATAAAACACCATATTCTAGTAAAACAACACATGCGTGAATCTCATACACAACAAGGAATAGATCATAGTAAAAAAATTGAAGACAACCATACAAAAGACGACGAGCCTTGCAGACGTGATCAAGCCTACTTACCGTGTGGCTCACCAGATGGATGCACTGACCTCAAGAAACAAAACAAAACAGACTGTGTTTTATAAGAGAGGATTTTCTTTTTATCGGACCCACACCGGTTCATCAAATCGGCAGTTCTCACATACTTTATGTCATTGTATAAATTGAAAATAAAAGATTCACAGCTTAAGAAATCATAATAAATATTTAAGCAAGATTGATTGCTAATGAATATTGTTATTATAAAATATATGAATGTTATATTAAAAAAAAAAAATAAAACACCGGGTTTTTTTTTTACTCTCGGTTAATTATTTGAGAACCTTTAGTTCATCAAATCGGCAGTTCTCACATACTTTATGTCATTTTATAAATTGAAAATAAAAGATTCACAGCTTAAGAAATCATAATAAATATTTAAGCAAAATTGATTGCTAATGAATATTGTTATTATAAAATATATGAATGTTATATTAAAAAAAAAAAAAATAAAACACCGGGTTTTTTTTTTACTCTCGGTTAATTATTTGAGAACCTTTGATATAGATAATAATGTTTAAGTAACACAGTTTAGATGCTAAAGTCTTTTTACGATAACCTGACATTTCTATTTAAGTAATTGTTGATGTAGCAAATGTCTATTTTAAATTATGTTTCTTTTAAATTAAATTCAGTGTTCAGAATTATTTAAAATTGAATGCTGTTTTCTCGTTCAAATTTTGGTGATACATTTGACATATTACGACAGATGTACTAATGGTAAAGGTCGCTTGGACTAAAATTTAGGAGTAAAGTGTAATGAGAAATGGAACAGGTGATCTAAAATTACACCCACGTGGGATCACTCTAATAAATATAACGAAGGAGGACAAGAAATTTTACAACTGAGTATTTTCTCTTTTTACCGCCCCCCCCCTCATGCCTATGTGGCGTAGTAAATCCAAGTTCAACATGCTATTATTGCTCTAGCTAGCGGCCTGTGTTCAACATGCTATTATTGCTCTAGCTAGCGGCCTGTGTTCAACATGCTATTATTGCTCTAGCTAGCGGCCTGTGTTCAACATGCTATTATTGCTCTAGCTAGCGGCCTGTGTTCAACATGCTATTATTGCTCTAGCTAGCGGCCTGTGTTCAACATGCTATTATTGCTCTAGCTAGCGGCCTGTGTTCAAGATGCTATTATTGCTCTAGCTAGCGGCCTGTGTTCAACATGCTATTATTGCTCTAGCTAGCGGCCTGTGTTCAACATCCTATTACTGCTCTAGCTAGAGGCCTGTGTTCAACATGCTATTATTGCTCTAGCTAGCGGCCTGTGTTCAACATGCTCTTATTGCTCTAGCTAGCGGCCTGTGTTCAACATCCTATTATTGCTCTAGCTAGCGGCCTGTGTTCAACATGCGTAAAATCAATTATTGCTTAGATTAGGGCCTTAAGTAGTCTGCATGTCCCCTCATGTTACTGATTGAGGGGCACCTGTTCCGCCATCGATCATCAAGTTTACGTCGAAAGAAAAATATATTTTGGATTCTACTAGACTTCATAAATGTTCTTAGGTAGTTAAGTAGAGAAAGTCAAAAATGTAAGTCCAAATGAACTTGTTTTTTTTTTTTAATCAAACTTTAAACCTTTCAGAGATTTCGTGGTGGAAGATTTTTTCCTAGGAGAACCAGACACAGTTTTAAAGATACATATACGTGTATAGAGAGTTCTTGGGCTTAGAAAATTCTCTGGAGATAAAAATGTAAAAGATTTGGTTCATGACTATGGCGGATCAATCCAGTACACTTCTTTTCTTCGGAAGGGCAGATTAATGCATTATGTCCATACTTATAGACTAGTGTCTCCTTGAAAAATCCTAGATCCGACTATGTATAGATCATTCTGTGTCATAATGTCACGAACTGAATTATTCATTTTCCTCACTGCCTAGAGTCCTCGTGTTTTAGACTTATTAGAGCGTTCACAAATTTCCAACATTTAAATATCTGTGTCGCCCAAAGATTTGAAAGAAATATTCAGCAGTCATTGAGATCAGTATTACTATATTAACCATTTTAGCCACGTCTAACCAAGTCTGGTTATGTTTTACAATGTCTGGCCATGTCTAACCCTGGCTGGCGATGTCTAACTCTGGCTGGCCATGTCTAACCCTGGCTGGTCATGTCTAGCCCTGGCTGGCCATGTCTAGCCCTGGCTGGCCATGTCTAACCCTTGCTGGCCATGTCTAACCCTTGCTGGCCATGTCTAACCCTTGCTGGCCATGTCTAACCCTGGCTGGCCATGTCTAACCCTGGCTGGACATAATTATGGTTTGTTTAATTAATCTTTTTAAAATTCCCCGAAGCACAGGTTTTCATAATGTGTTAGATTTAAACAACTTTATTCGTGATATTTCTGCAGCATTGCAAGTGCTATGGATGACGTGATATGCACGTGTTTGACAAGTTTTTATGCTGACCACGCTGTCCGGACTGACCGACGTACCTGCCGGCTGGAGCACGCCCTTCCCATCAGGCACAGTTTCTTCAGACTCAAGCGTGTGATGCACTTTCAGAGTCACGGTGAACTTCACAGTGAGCACACGCCTGCTTACCTGCCCATTTACAGGTAACACACCTTCACAGTGAGCACACGCCTGCTTACCTGCCCATTTACAGCTAACACACCTTCACAGTGAGCACACGCCTTCTTACCTGCCCATTTACAGGTAACACACCTTCACAGTGAGCACACGCCTGCCTACCTGCCCATTTACAGGTAACACACCTTCACAGTGAGCACACACCTGCCTACCTGCCCATTTACAGCTAACACACCTTCACAGTGAGCACACGCCTGCCTACCTGCCCATTTACAGGTAACACACCTTCACAGTGAGCACACGCCTGCCTACCTTCCCATTTACAGGTAACACACCTTCACAGTGAGCACACGCCTGCCTACCTGCCCATTTACAGGTAACACACCTTCACAGTGAGCACACGCCTGCTTACCTGCCCATTTACAGGTAACACACCTTCACAATGAGCACACGCCTGCCTACCTGCCCATTTACAGGTAACACACCTTTGAGCACATTGGCCATAAAAAACACCCTTTCGCCATCAAAGCCAAACTTTATAAAGCATACCTTTGATAATCCCTTTAAAATATCGGTTTGATTTCAAACTTATATCATCCACATCTTACTGTGCAAAAGTAGGATGGGTGGGGGTGGAAAAGGGCGCTGTCATTCTTCAAACCATTACAACCGATTTCGTTATCTCACCAAAAATACTTAGAGCTGTAAAATATTAAACGTTTAGCTCTTATGGCGCTGGGGGCCCCCAATACCAAAAAAACTTGTAAGACCAAATATTTGGAAATCGTACCTACAATTTTAACTTGAATGGTGACCTGAATGATGTTCCGCGTGCCCCAATCATAGTTGTAGCGAAAGTGTCTCCTTTTGGAATGGAGATTTTAATTCCTAAACGGCGATATCTTTGGCATCGGTGAACAACACTTTATGTCTGAGGTCAGCCTGAACATTTATCTGATTGATTGATTGATTGATTGATTGATTGATTGATTGATTGATTGATTGATTGATTGATTGATTGATTGATTGATTGATTGATTGAGTGATTGATTGATTGATTGATTGAATACTTATATAGCGCTAAGTATCCAGGCTATATTAGCATGCTCACTGCGCTCTCAGTGATGGCATCCGGGGCGTCGCAGGGGTTGTCGGAATGATTCATTGTTTCGATGTTTGCCGCCTGTAGGGGACGCCATCTCCAGGTTTTGAATCTAGAGTTTCCTTCTCTTAGATGAGTTGCCGACCAAGGTTAGCGAGTCCCATCCGAATGGGTTTGACCCTAAATCGAGGCTTTCGGGATGAAGCGTGACTTTCAAATAAACTTTAGTAGTATTGTTATTAAATTCTGTCCCGAAGACTCTCACGAAAACTTGCGGTGAACGATCGTTCTCTTTCTGTGCCCCTAACAATGGCATTCTCTTCCACTACACATTCGCAATATACTGACCATCACAGCCTTCAAAACTGGCCCCAAAACACATCTCCTCAAACTTTACCATGGCTTGACTTGTAAATAGTTCTTTAATGTGTGGAGTGAATATACATTTCTTTTGTTTTATTTAATTAACTAGCGGATATACCCGGCATTTGCCGGGGAGCATTAGGACCCAATCTTGGTGTGACCCGAGATCCCATTGTAACCCTAATCTCACTCTGACACCGATCCCTGTGCAGTCCCGTTTCCCGGTGTGATCCCGATCACGGTGGATTCATTCAAGAATGTGATCCCGATCCCGTTGGGATCCCATTTTCTGGTGGGATTCTGATCCCGTTGTGGTAAAGATTATGATTGGCTCCAGAGCCCTTTGGGATCCCGTATAAAAAAAATAACTCAGATTTATTGAGAGAATAGTAAACTCCGGGACCATATAGAAAAGAATAGAACTTACTAAAATTTCAATAACCCCTTAGATCCCGCTGTATATCCCCTTGGAACAATTTAGAACTTTCTGGAACATTCTAGATTAAATTTAATAACCTGCTCGAAACAACTGTAAAAACTAATTAGCTAACTATTTATCAGATACGATAAAAATCTTCAACAAATGCCATAATTATAACCCTTTTTCTATTTAAGTTAATCGAGGGGCTCCGGGAAGGCCCATTCCCAAACTGTACCGATATGTTTATGTCTGAGATAGGGGGGCTCTATAAATATCGGACGGATAAATAAAAAAGTTAAAATTTAAAATTTGTCCCATGAAAATCTATACTTAAAAATGACATAGATACAGCTTTTTAAAATTATGGAACTTTTCACGAAAATTCTAGTTGAATAGTATTAGTTCTAAATCCACGGATATTTCAAAACGGACAATGAAGGGTATTGCTATCACCCTAGGCCTGTATCCATCAATTCACAAAGAAGCTATAGTGTTGTATAAACCTAGTGATATTTATCTAGCGTGAATAAGAAAAAATGAAACGGGGCCCCCGGCACCAGAGGGATGAATATTATGAGTTGAGTACCCTTCGATATTTGAATATGGATAATCAGGTGCATGTGTATTACGTTTGGTCAAGATCCATCAAACCATGTAGGAGTATTAAGCCTATTAATTTTTATAAAGATTATATAAAGAAAAATTAAATTTGGCCCCCGGCCCCAGAGGAAGGGATATTATGAGTTCAGTAACCTTCGGCATTTCAATATGGATTATAAAGTATATTATGAGTTCAGTAACCTTCGGTATTTCAATATGGATTATAAAGTATATTATGAGTTCAGTAACCTTCGGTATTTCAATATGGATTATAAGTATATTATGAGTTCAGTAACCTTCGGTATTTCAATATGGATTATAAAGTATATTATGAGTTCAGTAACCTTCGGTATTTCAATATGGATTATAAAGTATATTATGAGTTCAGTAACCTTCGGTATTTCAATATGGATTATAAAGTATATTAGGAGTTCAGTAACCTTCGGTATTTCAATATGGATTATAAAGTATATGTATGGATTATAAAGTATATGTATGGATTATAAAGTATATGCGTTCCAAGTTTTATCAAGATCCATCAATTCTTATATTTTATTATTATTATCAAACAAGAGTTACCCGCGCAAGTCATCAGTCACCAGACGACTCGATGGTCCTCGTCGATCCTTGACGGACACAATTTAAAAAAAAGGCCCAGATTCATCAATTCACATTATAGAACCTATAGTGTTGCCTAAGCCAATTGATATTTATATTTAAGCACCATTTTAGTTATGTCTGAGATTTGGGGGAGGGGGGGGGGGAGTGGGTATCATTCAGGTAAATAATTGAGTAAAAATTTGTCCCATTAAAATCGGTTTACAAATGCCATAGACAAAGCTTTTTTTAAATTATCGAACTTTCTAGAAAATTCTAGATAGGCCCTGCATAGATTGGATATTATTAGCTTTAAATCCACATATATTTCACTACGGACAGTGAAGTGCATAGCTACCACACTCTGGGCCGTCTTAAGAACATAGGAGGCCTTGGCTAAAATGCACTGGGGCTCCTTAGCAACCAGGGTCGTTTAGAAAGGGGGGGGGGGGGCGAAGCGGGTACCCGCCCCATGCTCAACCAGTGGTGGAGATGGGGGTGGGCGCAAAAAGTTATTGTTCCCATTGGGTGAGCTACAAATTCCGTATATATTGCTAATTAAATCCATTTACATACAGTGAAGTGCATAGCTACCACACTCTGGGCCGTCTTAAGAACATAGGAGGCCTTGGCTAAAATGCACTGGGGCTCCTTAGCAACCAGGGTCGTTTAGAAAGGGGGGGGGGGGCGAAGCGGGTACTCGCCCCATGCTCAAACAGTGGTGGATATTGGGGTGGGCGCAAAAAGTTATTGCTCCCATTTGGTGAGCTACAAATTCCTTATATATTGCTAATTAAATGCATTTACATTAGTATTGAAATAGTGCTAGGATAGACCATTCTCCACTAATTTCACGACTGAGCAGTGGTGTATCTAGGGTTATTGCCGCCTGTGGCCAACATCTTTATCAAACATGATTTTTATTTCAATGTAAAGAAATATTACTTTATTATTTCGATTCATATCTGGGAGAATTAAACTTGTTGACGAGAGTTATTTCCCTGTAAATTTTTTAAAAAGTTTCCAACTGGTGATTCGCATTCAAAATATTAATTTTAAAATGTGCCGATATCATAGCGGGTTAACGTTCTGTCCACTGAATTTTAAATCAAATTGAATTGCCAAAATCGTTTAGTATTATTAATAACAAAATGTGCATCATGATGCCTCTATAAGAATGAGTCTCCTCGAAAAGTCAGGCCCCCTAAAAGCGTGGGGTGCCCAATGGGCCCATTCCTTAAGACGGCACTGCATCTTAGTTTAACATGATTGTAGAAACAAATTGTTACTTTTTTTTTTTTCGATTGCTATCTGGGAGAAGGATAACGTGTTGACGAGAGTTATTCCCCTTGAAAAAGGATCGAATTTGTGATTCGCATTCTTATAATATTAATTTTGAAATGTGCCGACAATATCGTGCGTTGTAATATGGAAACGTGCTGTCCACTGCATTCTCAATCAAATTAAATTGCCAAAATATTTTAATATTCATTAATAATATGTAAAGCATGATACCTCTAAAAGAATGAGTCTTCTAGAATCGCGAGGCCCTGAGCTAGTGCTCTGTGGGCCCATGCCCCAAGAAGGCACTGCACTAAACTAGTACCACGATGCCATGCCCCTTGCTTTCCTTTTACGAAGTGGCTATTTGTACCCGGGTACCAGAAATGAGAGTTAGGATTAAAAAACTATTTAAAATGTTGTTGTTGGATTTGTAAGACAAAGTGAGGTGTCACATGAAAGATAATTGAATGGAGTATAGGTTTGTAAACTTAATTCTTCAGTTTAACTAAAATAAACTACCACAATGGACATCCGAATATCGAGTCAAAATGGACCCAGACACACAGCGCCGCCATTTGCACCCGGGTACCTTTAGACTCAATGCTATTCGTATGCCATTTGTGGTAGTTTATTTGATTAAATGCATTGTTTATGGTGTATATATATACTTAAACGTACACACTCAATTTTTACCGTTGTCATATTTTCATGAAATTTCTGTCTTTCAACATAAGTGATTTTGGTACACTCGTCTCATGTAAGGGTAGTTGAAATAAATTCTCAGTTAACATTTTAAAATTTAAGCCAGTCATTTATAATTGATAATTTGAATGACAGATGTAAGAGAGGTTTTTAATTTGTTATCAGTTTTTATTATTAGGATTTAGAACAACTGCCATCCACAAATGGAAGATTCTTCAAATGTTTCACTTGAATGATTGACATGAAAGATTTAATAAAATAATTAATTTAACAATCAATTTGTTTTGGTTGTTTTTATCTACTGTGTTCTAAACAGTTGTGGTGTGGTGTTTGATGTGTTGACCACCAACATTTTCTGCCCACCTAATAGAGAAAAAAAATCGGGCTTCGACTTTTTTCATTCATTTTTATTAACCAGACCAACGAGACAATGTCAACAAATGACCCGACCGTGACCTCCACGTTCAGCGGAGCCCGCCTGCAAGTGCCTCTCATCTTGTCCCGAGAGTCTCGTCCAAGCAAGACGCCATAGATTGGTCAAAGTCCTTGTCGTCAGACAACAACACACAATTCTTGAAGCTGGAATAGAAGAGCGGGACCAGCGGGCAGATCGTCTCGTTGCCAAGTCTGCATTGACCTTCCGACGGAGATGCGCCCGCCTCCCATAGAGTTTTCAGGGGAACATAATTAGCAGGGCGCTTGACTGCATAAATACAAATACATTGAATGAAGATGAAAGCTATATGAAGTAACATGGTTCTTCTTGTTATAAAAAAATTTCTGGCATATCTGTCAGTTACAAAACATTTTCTTAAAAATTTAATATACAGAATATAGTTTTTGAACTGATTATATTTTTTTTACATACAATATTTCGAGGAATGAGTTAACTCAATTTTAATTCGCCACATCCATTTCCATGTCATAACTAAACTAAGCATTTAAAGCTAAAACATTTTCCAAGTGCTTCTCAGCATCATACCTTTACAAATGTTCTTTATAAAACTAAATTTAAAAAAAAAAAAAAATATGCCAAAGTTGCGATTTTTCCATGCCATTAATACATGGCCGAAACAATAACTTGCATAGTCAAACTCAAAGCAAGCCCATCTAATTAATTTATACCAAATTATATACCGATTTTTAATATACGTTTAAAATTTGGGAACCTTTCTTTGTTAAAAAAATTAGTATAGATTAGTGTCAGGAATATTTTACTTTCTTGTGTGCTTGGGCTTTTCACATTCATTACAATTTTTACAAATAGTGGCATATTATGGTGTAATAATAGAGTAAAGTTTTGCTAGATAAATTATTTTACCTAGGATGATATTTTTTATCTTTACAATAGTTAAAATTGCATTAGCTTTAAATTTTGAAATATTACCTTTATTAAAAACATGAAGTTCTTGAAAGAGTTTTGCTAACTTGTCCAAATCATCACATAAAGACCAGGAGATATAGACAATAACAGTCAAAATCAAACATACGAAAATCACAATGCATTTGTCTAAATTGTGACAACTGAAGAACCCTGTGGAAGAATCACAATTTCAGGTGAATTTATTGCAAATAAAAATAAATCAAGGCAAATCAAAAGAAATACGTATTGAAGAGTTTATGTGTCGTCTCTAAAGTATTAGTTTGTTGTAACATGACAGATATTTGTTTTTCGTAGTATGTCAAGTTATTAAGGGTCAGATTTTTACCGTCAGTATATTACACTATTAGATATCCGATTGATACAGTCAGTATATTACATATAGCATCCTTCCATCTTCGCAAGACGGTGGAGTAGCGATGTAGGCCTACACTTCGACGAGTGGCTCACTAGGCCAGTCCTGGAATAACAATCTCGACTGCATTTCTCGCAGGAGAACATTCATGCATGGTAAGATTTGGCCTTCCGTTATGTTCATGTTGTTGCATGGGCCTTGTTTCGCGCATCTTCATACACTGCTGTTCGACAGCTCGAACGTTGCTCAGCAATGATCTCCCATGTGTTGATATCAATGTTGGCTTCCCTCATGCTACTTTTCCAAACGTCCTTAAATCTCAGGCGTGGCCTTCAAACAAGTCTTGTCCCTTCTGTCAAACCTCCATACAGCATTATCTTTGGGATACGTCCTTCCTCCATTCTCCTTACATGACCTAAAAATTGAAGGCGCCTCTTGCTAAGAGCGGAGAAAATGTTACATATTTCAAAGACCTCTGTGTAAGGCACCCTGTCCTACCATCGGATGCGTAAAATGCGACGCAGACATCTTTGACGGAAGCTGTTGAGTTTCCACTCAAGACAGATATATGTGATCCACACTTCATTACCATATAGGTGAGTACTAAGCACACACATGCCTGATAGACACTTAGTTTTATTTTATCGGTTAGATTGAGATTATTCCACACCCGCTTATTCAGTTTAGCCATAGTTGCGACTGCTTTTGCGAGCCTGATATTTATCTCTTCATCAACGGAGAGAGAACTAGAAATAGTGGATCCCAGGTATGTGAAATGCTAAACAACTAACTATTTTTGGCCCTAAATAGATATGATTGGAGGGGATGGTGTTCTTGCATCATTACATGCTTTTTCTGTAGATTGATTTCCAACCCAAGCTCTTTACAAGCGTATGATAGACGATTAACCAGTGCCTGAAGACATTCTTTTGTGTGACATCTTAAGGTGGCATCGTCAGCGAACAGCAGTTCACGAATCAGCACCTTTTTTACCTTGGTCTTTGCACGAGGACGGGCGATATTGAACTGCCTACCATCAGATTTGATATGGACGTACACTCCATCTTCACAGTCCCTGAAGGCAAATTGAAAGAGCATCGAGAAGTAAATGGAGAAGAGCGCTGGTGCCAATACACAACCCTGTTTTAATCACCTGCTGACTAGGAATGCCTCAGAGAAAGCGCCGTTGAATGCGACTGTGCCATTCATGTTTTTGTGAAATTACTATATGATTTTGAGCAGAATTGGTGGACAACCTATTCTTTGCAATATACTAAATAGGCGTCTCCGGCTTACCAAGTCGAATGCCTTCGTCAGATCTATGAAAGCAATATACGGTGGCATATGTTGTTCACGACACCTATCTTGGATTTCGCGTAATGAGAATCATGTCTATAGTTGAGCGCCAACTCCCGAAGCCACACTTGGACTCTGGGTAGATGAGGTTGGCCAGACTCTGCAATCGTTTTAGAGCAACGCGGTCAAACGTCCTTCCAACTATGCCAAGGAGAGAAATTCCTGTATAGTTATTAAAATCATTTCAATCCCCATTTATTTGTGAACAATGTTGCGATGTTGGCTTCTCCCATGTCCTTGGGAAATGTGATATTTTTCTCAACAGAAACAGATGAGGTTATGTAAGGGATGATGTAGTATTGCTTTTTCCATTTTTGAGGACTTCCGGGGGGAAACCGTCAATCCCTTGTCCCTTTCCATCAGCATGGAAATTAATTGACTTTTCAAAGTCCTGTAAAGTTGGATCTTCATCTAGTTCTTCCATTATGGACAAGACGGGAATATTATTCAGAGCGGTCTCAGTGACTATATTCACTATTGCATATAGTTCAAGATAAGGCTCTAATCAACGCCGGAGTTGATCGTTTGGGTTCTGGATAATTTTACCAGAGTTGTGCTTGAGGGGTGATATTTTTAAAGTGTGTGGACCTATTGCCCTCTTGATGCCCTCGTACTTGCTCCTTGACTCCCCGCTGTCGGAAGCCCATCGGATACGGTTGCAGAGATCCAACCAGCAAGAGTTGGCACAGTGGTGGGCCGCATGCTGGGATATTGTTTTTTTTCATTTCGGAGAGCCTCTAATGGACAAGTATAAGGTGCATCACTATAGGCAAGTAGAGCTCTTCTCTTGCTCTCAGTTGCGGGTTCCATCACATTCCAATGCGCCTCATACCAGTTATTGTTGTTTTTTTATTTTAACGCAGGTGGACATGGCTGAATTGTACATAGCATCTCGTATTTAAGTCTACTATGAGTCCATAGTGACATCACGTGACATTTGTCAATGGTATCCATCAAAACTTTTGTGAATTGCTGCGTTTCTTCTGGGTTGTTTGAGCAGGGGATGTTTATTCGTGGACGACATGTCTTTTAAGCATTGTGCAATTTTTTGGCATTAGCTGTATCGTGCTTGCTACGAGAGCATGGTCCGTGTCACAGTCGGCACTATGGTAGCTGCGGGTGTGAAGTGCACTGGCTAGGTCCACGCGCCTTAAGATTATGAGGTCTACCAGGTGATAGCGGCGGGTGTGAAGTGCACTGGCTAGGTCCACGCGCCTTAAGATTATGAGGTCTACCAGGTGATAGCGGCGGGTGTGAAGTGCACTGGCTAGGTCCACGCGCCTTAAGATTATGAGGTCTACCAGGTGATAGCGGCGGGTGTGAAGTGCACTGGCTAGGTCCACGCGCCTTAAGATTATGAGGTCTACCAGGTGATAGCGGCGGGTGTGAAGTGCACTGGCTAGGTCCACGCGCCTTAAGATTATGAGGTCTACCAGGTGATAGCGGCGGGTGTGAAGTGCACTGGCTAGGTCCACGCGCCTTAAGATTATGAGGTCTACCAGGTGATAGCGGCGGGTGTGAAGTGCACTGGCTAGGTCCACGCGCCTTAAGATTATGAGGTCTACCAGGTGATAGCGGCGGGTGCGTGGGAGTCACCATGACACCTTTCGGATTTGTTTACATTTGAAGAAGGTGTTGGTAACACAGAGGCCATGGGAGCAGCACAGCTCCACCAGACGTTGTACGATTTCATTAATCCTTCCTAATCCGTGATAACCAAGACATGACGGCCAGGCTTCCTGATCAGCTCCTACCCTAGAAAAACATGCCAAAGTTGCAATTTTTTCATGCCATTAATACATGGCCGAAACAATAACTTGTATAGTTAAACTCAAAGCAAGCCAAGCTAATTAATTTATACCAAATTATATACTGATTTTAAATATACGTTTAAAATTTGGGAACAATTGTATGTTAAAAAAAATTAGTATAGATTAGTGTCAGGAATATTTTTTACTTTCTTGTGCGCTTGGGCTTTTCACATTCATTACAATTTTTACAAATAGTGGCATATTATGTTGTAATGATAGAGTAAAGTTTTGCTAGATAAATGATTTTAACTAGGATGATATTTTTTTATATTTACAATAGTTAAAATTGCATTAGCTTTAAATTTTGAAATATTACCTTTTCTAAAAACATGAAGTTCTTTAAAGAGTTTTGTTAACTTCATGAACTTTGGTACCTTGTCCAAATCATATTGTAGCGAACATAAAATATAGCCAATAACAGTCAGAATCAAACATGCGAAAATCCCAACGAATTTGTCTAAATTGTCACAACTGAAGAACCCTGTGGAAGAATCACAATTTCAGGTGAATTTATAGCAAATAAAAATAAATCAAGGCAAATCAAAAGAAATACGTATTGAAAAGTTTATGTGTCGTCTCTCAAGTATTAGTTTGTTGTAACATGACAGATATTTGTTTTTCGTAGTATGTCAAGTTATTAAGGGTCAGATTTTTACCGTCAGTATATTACACTATTAGATATCCGATTGATACAGTCAGTATATTACATATGGTATCCTTCCATCTTCGCAAGACGGTGGAGTAGCGATGTAGGCCTACACTTCGACGAGTGGCTCACTAGGCCATTGCTGGAATAACAATCTCGACTGCATTTCTCGCAGGAGAACATTCATGCATGGTAAGATTTGGGCTTCCGTTTTTTTCATGTTGTTGCATGGGCCTTGTTTCGCGCATCTTCATACACTGCTGTTCGACAGCTCAAACGTTGCTCAGCAATGATCTCCCATTTGTTGCTATCAATGTTGGCTTCCCTCATGCTACTTTTCCAAACGTCCTTAAATCTCATTCGTTGCCTTCAAACAAGTCTTGTCCCTTCTGCCAAACCTCCATACAGCATTATCTTTGGGATACGTCCTTGCTGGGTGCTGGGTGGCCGAGTGGTCTAAACTGAGCAAATCTAAAGTTGGTGGTCTGGATGTTCAATTCCAGCTAGAGCAAAAACACCACCAGCACCCCGGGTAGATGGGACTCGCTAACCTTCGACGGCAACTCATCTAAGAGAAGGAAACTCTGAAATCAAACCCGGAGATGGAGTCCCGAAAGGCGGATAACATTGATACAATGAAACATTCCGACAACTCCTGCGACGTCACTGGTGCCAAGCTGTATCATCCAATGATGTTCCCTTGGGTTACCCAGCGGCGTGGAGAGAGGCGATTTGCTGTTGGGAACCAGCTTTTAATCCTTCAAGTATAATAATCCCAGGCTATGTGGATTTCGTCCTACGAAGCCCACTCCATCGTCACATTGTGACGGACGGATGCCAGCAACAAAAAAAAAAAAAAAGTCCTTCCTACATTCTCCTTACATGACCTAAAAATTGAAGGCGCCTCTTGCTAAGAGCGGAGAATATGTTACATATTTCAAAGACCTCTGTGTAAGGCACCCTGTCCTACAATCCGATGCGTAAAATGCGACGCAGACATCTTTGACGGAAGCTGTTGAGTTTCCACTCAAGACAGATATATGTGATCCACACTTCATTACCATATAGGTGAGTACTAAGCACACACATGCCTGATAGACACTTAGTTTTATTTTATCAGTTAGATTGAGATTATTCCACACCCGCTTATTCAGTTTAGCCATAGTTGCTGCTGCCTTTGCAATCCTGATATTTATCTCTTCATCAACGGAGAGAGAACTAGAAATATTGGATCCCAGGTATGTGAAATGCTAAACAACTAACATTTTTTGGCCCTCAATAGATATGATTGGAGGGGATGGTGTTCTTGCATCATTACATGCTTTTCTGTAGATTGATTTCCAACCCAAGCTCTTTACAAGCGTATGATAGACGATTAACCAGTGCCTGAAGACATTCTTCTGTGTGACATCTTAAGGCGGCATCGTCAGCAAACAGCAGTTCACGAATTAGCACCTTTTTTACCTTGGTCTTTGCACGAGGACGGGCGATATTGAACTGCCTACCATCAGATTTGATATGGACGTACACTCCATCTTCACAGTCCCTGAAGGCAAATTGAAAGAGCACCGAGAAGTAAATGGAGAAGAGCGCTGGTGCCAATACACAACCCTGTTTTAATCACCTGCTGACTAGGAATGCCTCAGAGAAAGCGCCGTTGACTCTGCAGTGCATGTTTTTGTGAAATTAATATATGATTGTGAGCAGAGTTGGTGGACAACCTATTCTTTGCAATATACTAAATAGGCGTCTCCGGCTTACCAAGTCAAATGGCTTCGTCAGATCTATGAAAGCAATATACGGTGGCATATGTTGTTCACGACACCTATCTTGCATTTCGCGTAATGAGAATTATGTCTATAGTTGAGCGCCCACTCCCGAAGCCACACTGGGACTCTGGGTAGATGAGGTTGGCCAGACTCTGCAATCGTTTTAGAGCAACGCGGTCAAACGTCCTTCCAACTATGCCAAGGAGAGAAATTCCTGTATAGTTATAAAAATCATTTCAATCCCCATTTATTTGTGTACAATGTTGCGATGTTGGCTTCTCCCATGTCCTGGGGAAATGTGATATTTTTTTCTCAACACAAACAGATGAGGTTATGTAAGGGCTGATGTAGTATTGTTTTTTCTATTTTTGAGGACTTCCGGGGGGAAACCGTCAATCCCTTGTGTCTTTCCATCAGCATGGAAATCAGTTGACTTTTTGAAGTCCTGTAAAAGTTGGCTCTTCATCTAGTTTTTCCATTATGGACAAGACGGAAATATTATTCAGAGCGGTCCCAGTGACTACATTCGCTATTGCATATAGTTCAAGATAAGGCCCTAACCAACGCCGGAGTTGATCGTTTGGGTTCTGGATAATTTTACCAGGGTTGTTCTTGAGGGGTGATAATTTTTAGATGTGTGGACCTATTGCCCTCTTGATGCCCTCGTACTTGCTCCTTGACTCACCGCAGTCGGAAGCCCATCGGATACCGTTGCAGAGATCCAACCAGCAAGAGTTGGCACAGTGGCGGGCCGCATGCTGGGATATTGTTTTTTTCATTTCGGAGAGCCTCTGATGGACAAGTATAAGGTGCATCACTATAGGCAAGTAGAGCTCTTCTCTTGCTCTCAGTTGCGGGTTCCATCACATTCCAATGCGCCTCATGCCAGTTATTGTTTGTTTTTTTAATTTTAACGCAGGTGGACATGGCTGCATTGTACATAGCATCTCGTATTTAAGTCCACTATGAGTCCATAGTGACATCACGTGACATTTGGCAATGGTATCCATCAAAACTTTTGTGAATTGCTGCGTTTCTTCTGGGTTGTTTGAGCAGTGGATGTTTATTCGTGGACGACATGTCTTTTAAGCATTATACAATTTTTTGGGCATTAGCTGTATCTTGCTTGCTACGAGAGCATGGTCCGTGTCACAGTCGGCACTATGGTAGCTGCGGGTGTGAAGTGCACTGGCTAGGTCCACGCGCCTTAAGATTATGAGGTCTACCAGGTGATAGCGGCGGGTGCGTGAAAGCCACCATGACACCTTTCGGATTTGTTTACATTTGAAGAAGGTCTTGGTAACACAGAGGCCATGGGAGCAGCACAGCTCCACCAGACGTTGTACGATTTCATTAATCCTTCCTAATCCGTGATAACCAAGACATGACGGCCAGGCTTCCTGATCAGCTCCTACCCTAGAATTTTACTCTCCCAGAATGTACAATGCTTCGGTTTTTGGGAACACATGATAATTCTTGGTCTAGGGCCTCGTAGAATGGATCATCCTCTCCTGGAGTCGAATGAATAGTTGGAGCATACACACTAAATACGTTGGCCTCTCGTGCAAATGATGATATCAGAATTGGCTGAATCTTCTCTGATCCCAAAGAAGCAGGTTCAATACAGGCCAATAAAGTGTTTACGGCAATCCAACACCATGCCATCTAGGTTCATCTGCATGTTTCCCCTGCCAGTAGAATGTGTAGCTGCCTTCATTTATGGTACCACTATCCACTAGTCGGGTCTCTAAAAGGCCTGCAATATCAATGTTTAGTCTGGCGAGTTCGTTGTCAATTGTGGCAGTCTTCTTTGCAATGTTTTCCTCTTGGAAGCTTGTTCCAGTCCATGATTGTCTTTGGCAGGAATGAGCAGCTCCTATACTGGCTTCTCGCTGGTATGAGCCGGAACTGCCTGTCATGGCCTCGTCGCTGTCTATGGGGGAGAGGGACGAGTTTCTGTTTAATTCTGGAGCAGTGGACCAGCACTTTATTTATCTTGTACATCATGGAGAGCCTGGATAGTCTTCGTCGTTCCTCCAATCGTGACCAGTCCATTGTTTCCGATAATGAGTAATGGTGAGCTTCATGACATATGAGAAGCCGATCAAATATTATTGTATTTTTTGTTTGTTTGAACAGTGAATGCTCTAAGTTTGAATTTGTTAAATGTTTTTGGTAATTATTCTGTTTGATATTGTTCTTATTCGGCGTTTTCTTAAGATCACTTGTTTTCGTGTGCACATGGGGCTGGTTGGTCAAGACATTTCACTTGTGTTGCAATGTCTTACCTCTTGATTGCGTTCGTCTACGTCTTTCGGGTTGATCCTCGTCATCTTGTCTTCCTGCGTTGTCTGAAAGATTTACAGTAATTTGAATTAAATTACGGAGATTGATAATTATTTGATGTGACTTAATTAGTATAACAATCTGAAAATTAATATTAAACTTAATGATATGAAAAAAGAACTCAAAATTTAAGGCGGGCCGTAATACTTAGGGAAAACTTGTGCGGGCCGAAAGATAATAGGACAGATGGGAAATCTAGTCAGAAAATTTTTAGTAACAAAGGATATTTTGTTACTTCGCGGGCCGCCAAGTGGGTGCTGGGGAGCCGTATGGAAAAACATCATTGCTCAATGTTACAATTACTAAACCAGTCGCATATCATAAACACGATATGACCGTGACAATGTACTACAGCGAAATGATCAGTGCTACCTGTGCAATATAGGCATTGCTGAGGGCCTATGATAGGATTGGTGGAAGAATTTCTCTTTCCGCAGTTCCGTATCTGTATTTGGCCAATTAATGTAATCATTTTGGTTTCCTTATCTAGATTACATTTTTTTTTTTTAAAGTTCTACCGTAACAGACTTTTGTCTGTATCATCCAATTGTTTCTGTGGCAGTGGGGTCAGGTGATTTTCGTTAAATTTACATTTTGCGTCTGTCATAACTCTCTAGTGCCGTCGATGTGGCATCTGAGCACCACTTCCGCTTCCACGGGTATAAGCAGCTGCTCGGGAAAACCCTCTTGTTTGGTTGATACAAGTCGGTAACATATTGTTTATGTGGACATATTTTGTTTTTTTTTGTGTGCCATCAGTCATGTGCTATGAGTTTAAACATTTGTTCACTTCGGCATGTTTTAGGACTGCCTGTATGTGATAATGTACTTGCTGATTTGTTGGTTAGATGCAAGGAAGCCTTTTCCTATTTGGAAGAGAAAAGTTGATTCGTTGTTCATTTTCCACATTGAAACCAATAAATGCTAAGATGTAAGATGTCCTACTTGTAGTACATTCAGGATATCAATATATATGGGGGAGTCTTGTTTTCAAATATTCTGCTTTAACTCGACCAGCGGGAACAGGCGCCATAAGTTTGCTAATGCATGTTATCGATGTGCAGTCTTCAAGACTTTGCGGTAATTGCATTAATTCATCCAACTGAGGAAGGTCCAATGATCCCGAAGAAGTATACGCTGTTGTTGTGTTGTTTTAGGCGAGAGTCTGCCAGGCATAACATCTCACAAGACACCACTGGGATCTCAATCTATATAGTGAAACTATACGGGGTTTCTTTCTTTGTTGTTTCATTAAGGCACGTGGTTCTGAAATAGTTACCGGTCAGTGGTTTCATGATTGACCAGTCTACCACCTGTCTACATTGGCCATTTTAACAGGCTGTGTGATGTACTTCCGGGAAGCATTGACGCTTCCAACCCGGTTAAAACGAAAATTTTGATTAAATGTTTCCGTAGCGGCGGCTAATTTGGTTCTTATGGGATTTTCACACCACATTTTGTTTTTTGTTTTTGCTAAACCTGCTCCAACTGCGATGACAAGTCATTCTTGATGCCGTCCGCCGTCCCAACAAAAATTAAATTTTTTCCGCATGTGTTTTGCGGCCGAAGAACTACAAGGCTGCACGTGTACTGTTTTAAACGCTTACATTACTAGTGAGCTTGGCTTTCTAGTGACTTTTTTTTTCCTGTCCGTCCTCTCTACTGAGTCGACCCCTTATTGGGCTCGGGAATTAAGGTGTCCCGGCAGCATTGCCTGCGCTAAGTTTGAATTTGGTGAATGTTTGGGGAATAATTCTATTTGATAAAGTTCTTTTTTGGGGGGCGTTTTCTTAAGATCACTTGTTTTCTTGTGCACATGCGGCTGGCTGGTTAAAGACGTTTCACTTGTGTTGCGATGTTAATGTCTTACCTTCTGTTTCCGTGTGGGCTGTCGCTGGTTCACCAAGGTCATCGGCATCTGAAAGATTTACAGCAATTTTAATTAAAATACAGTGATTGATAATTATTTGAGGTGGCGTGCACAAGTGCTGAAAACAAACTCCCGTTTAAACTTTAAAATTGTATTTCCTCCTTTGTTTTTCTTTTGATAATGATGAGCTACATGATCATCTTGGATGTTAGTGTGTGTGGGGTTGGGGGGGGGGGGTAGATGAACAAAGTTTCAGCACGTTTGGACCTCAAGAAGTGGGACAAATTTGACATGGACGTTTGAACCTCGACATTCACACTGATGAAATAGCAACATTAAACATCCGTACTGTAACACAATTAGGTCTTTAAAAGTGAAGTTTGGCAGCTCCTCACCTGTAAATGGACCCTTGTGTTGGGTCCTTAAAATCTTCGGCGGGCCACCAAAAGTAAAAACTTGACAACACGATTACTACTATAGTAACTAATCAATTTTTCAATTGTAGATTGATCGCTTTGATAGCAGATCCCAAAACAATGCAAATGATAACACAATGAAATGTTATGTAAGCAACTGAAACACTCCATTAGCTCTACATGCTGTGACCATAGAAATCTAAATAGTTACCAAGGAATATTTCACATAGCCACTACGCTCTGTTTCGGTGCAAGAATGTCAATTGACAAAGAAATTGAAGCAGTGAACTTTAGCCACTACGCTCTGTTTCGGTGCAAGAATGTCAATTGACAAAGAATTTGAAGCAGTGAACTTTAGCCACTACGCTCTGTTTCGGTGCAAGAATGTCAATTGACAAAGAAATTGAAGCAGTGAACTTTAGCCACTACGCTCTGTTTCGGTGCAAGAATGTCAATTGACAAAGAAATTGAAGCAGTGAATTTTAAATCAGGGAGGTGACATCAGTAAAATTACAGCAGGGAGACGTAAAGTAAAAAAATATATATTTTTTAGTCAGTGTGTACGATCTCAAGTGGACCTACGAGAGTAGTTTTAAGAACTACGGGCGGTTCTGATTTTCTTGTTGCAGTGTACACAGACAACGCAAGAGTTTTTGAGAACCACTGGAGTGAAGGTGATTTCTTAAATTAATTTTGATGATCCGCTTTTGATTAAAGTTGAAATTAAGCTCTTGAGTTTGAAGGCTGGATGCAAGTCTCATATATAACCATGGCATTGGAATGTGATGCCTATCTGTTAGGTTAATGTGAATTTCGTGCGAAGGGTAAAGGCGAGGTTCCGTAGGTTTTGACATTGAGTTTTATATGGTTTTGTTATGGGGGTTTTCCACAGTGGGCGAAGAGAACTTCTTACGCGGTAGGCAGAGGGTGAGTGTTATGTAGGGGAGGGCAGGGTTTTTTCACCATGACAGAGAAAAAAAGCGGTTTTCAATAGTGAGAGAATGAGCGACTTCCTAGATGCGAGAAGGCTATTTTCCCCATCGGGGGAAAGATAACTTCTTCTTGGTCTGCTCTATGTTAAGTGCCCACAATCAATGTATTGATCATTGTGACCTCTATGCATCTAGAGAGGATTTGCAATGTTTCTGTGCCTTGTGTTGATAAGGATATTTCACTGCATGGTTGCAAGGGCCACTTAGTGAGGGTGTCATGCACTTGGGGGTTGGAAGGCCTGAGGCATGATAGACCCACGTGGATTTGGGGTTGTCGACTCAACTTTTCCACTTGGGAGATTGTTCCAGCCCCTAGTTGTCTTTGAGCAGTTCCTATACTGGGTTCTCACTGGTATGAGCCAGAACTGCCTGTCATGGCCTCGTCGCTGTCTATGTGGTAGAAGGACGAGTTTCTGTTTAATGCTTGAGCAGTGGACCAGCCCTTTATTTATCTTGTACATCATGGAGAGCCTGGATAGTCTTCGTCATTCCTCCAATCGTGAACAGCTCAGTGTTTCCAATAAAGAGTAATGGTGAGCTTCATGACATATGAAGAGCCGACCAAATATTTTTTTTTTTTAAACAGTGAATGCTCTAAGTTTGAATTTGGTGATTGCTTTTGGGGGGGGGGGGATTCTATTTGATACTGTTCTTTTTGGGCGTTTTCTTAAGATCACTTGTTTTCTTGTGAACATGGGGCTGGCTGGTCAAGACATTTCACTTGTATTGCGATGTTAATGTCTTACCTTCTGTTTCGTTGGGGATCCATTCAATTCCACTAAAGATATCATCATCATCATCATCAGTGTTTTCTGAAAGATTTACATTAATTTGAATTAAATTACAGAGATTGATAATTATTTGACTTAAATTGACTTAAATAGTTTTACAATGTGAATATTAGATTTAATCTGAATGATACACAACTCAAAATGTAAGGCGGGCCGTAAGGAAATAGGACAGGTGGGCAAGCTAGTAAGAAAATAGGACAGGTGGGAAAGCTAGTAAGAAAATAGGACCGGTGGGAAAGCTAGTAAGAAAATAGGACCGGTGGGAAAGCTAGTAAGAAAATAAGACCGGTGGGAAAGCTAGTAAGAAAATAAAACCGGTGGGAAAGCTAGTAAGAAAATAGGACCGGTGGGAAAGCTAGTAAGAAAATAGGACCAGTGGGAAAGCTAGTAAGAAAATAGGACCGGTGGGAAAGCTAGTAAGAAAATAAGACAGGTGGGAAAGCTAGTAAGAAAATAGGACCGGTGGGAAAGCTAGTAAGAAAATAAGACTGGTGGGAAAGCTAGTAAGAAAATAAGACCGGTGGGAAAGCTAGTAAGAAAATAGGACCGGTGGGAAAGCTAGTAAGAAAATAGGACCGGTGGTAAAGCTAGTAAGAAAATAAGACCGGTGGGAAAGCTAGTAAGAAAATAGGACAGGTGGGAAAGCTAGTAAGAAAATAAGACAGGTGGGAAAGCTAGTAAGAAAATAGGACAGGAGGGAAAGCTAGTAAGAAAATAAGACAGGTGGGAAAGCTAGTAAGAAAATAGGACCGGTGGGAAAGCTAGTAAGAAAATAGGACCGGTGGTAAAGCTAGTAAGAAAATAAAACCGGTGGGAAAGCTAGTAAGAAAATAGGACAGGTGGGGAAGCTAGTAAGAAAATAGGACAGGTGGGAAAGCTAGTAAGAAAATGAGACCGGTGGGAAAGCTAGTAAGAAAATAGGACCGGTGGGAAAGCTAGTAAGAAAATAGGACCGGTGGTAACGCTAGTAAGAAAATAAAACCGGTGGGAAAGCTAGTAAGAAAATAGGACCGGTGGGAAAGCTAGTAAGAAAATAGGACAGGTGGGAAAGCTAGTAAGAAAATAGGACCGGTGGGAAAGCTAGTAAGAAAATAGGACAGGTGGGAAAGCTAGTAAGAAAATAGGACCGGTGGGAAAGCTAGTAAGAAAATAAGACAGGTGGGAAAGCTAGTAAGAAAATAGGACCGGTGGGAAAGCTAGTAAGAAAATAGGACCGGTGGGAAAGCTAGTAAGAAAATAGGACAGGTGGGCAAGCTAGTAAGAAAATAGGACCGGTGGGCAAGCTAGTAAGAAAATAGTACAGGTGGGAAAGCTAGTAAGAAAATAGGACAGGTGGGAAAGCTAGTAAGAAAATAGTACAGGTGGGAAAGCTAGTAAGAAAATAGGACAGGTGGGCAAGCTAGTACGAAAATAGGACAGGTTGGAAAGCTAGTTAGAAAATAATAATAATAACAAAGTGCGGTCAGGTGATTTTCGTTAAATTTACTTATTGCGTCTGTCACTAACTCTCTAGCGCTGTGGGTGTGGCATCAGAGCACCACTTTCTCTTCCGCTAAGTATGTGCAGCTCCTCGGGAAAACCCTCTTGTTTGGCTGATACCAGTCGGTAACATATTTTTTTGATAAATGTACAATGGACATATAGATTCTTGCTTCGTCTTACTTATTGATAGGTGAATCTTTAGCTGGCGTACGAAAAACACGTTGAAAATAGTGTTCATTGTTTTGCGTGCTGTTCGGTAATGAAGCCTCGTTATGTTGCGTTCTGCGGCCGAAGAACTACAATGCTGCACGTGTACTGTTTTAAACGCTTCCATTACTAGTGAGCTTGGCTTTCTATTGACTTTTTCTCTTCTGTCCGTCCTTTCTACTGAGTCGACCTTATTAGGCTCGGGAATAAGGTGTCTTGGCAGCACTGTATACGGGTCAAGGATTAATAAAAAAATAAGTTTTTGGACTAGTTTAGTACTTTCGCTTTTCACTTATTCCCATTTGACCTGTATCACCCCCACCCCCCCAACCTCTTGATTATCTCCCTTGCATTTTTATAAAATATTTTTCTTTTGTGAAATTATTAATTACAAATAATTATTTTACCAGGCATCAAGGGTTCCACTCGAACATAGTGGGGCTGAGTTAGACCTTCGTTATACGGACTTGTGCACTGTTTGAGACCATGCAGCTCATCTGGTCTAAAAATCTTATACTCTTCGAGAGGAGGTCGAAATTTGTTGCCATTGATCTGCAAAATATTAATTTTTAAAATCAGTTTAAGTTGATTTAAACAAATAAATATGACAACGGAATTAAAAAGCCACATAACTTATGTGCAGGATTAATTTGCGCATATTTAACATTTTTAGATTTATATCATTATTTGAAATACTTTAAAAATCAGCTCAAAGTGCTAATGTCTGTTTTACTTATCAAAACTATTTATTTTATATAGGTTATTTTATATAGGTTTTAACCAGTTCCTATTTCTTGTCCTATTCTCATGTGTAGGCCTACTGTCTGCCGACGGAAGTTCTTAGTCGAAACATTCTTGTCTTTTGTGCTGTTCTTAATTTCAAGCTTCCACGCACCTCAACTATTTCCTTTAATACTGAAATAGGCTTCTTTAATGTACAACTGGCTAAATGTTTAACTTCTCTATTGAGTTATTGTCATACATTCCCGACTAAAAACACATCATAACTTATTATAGGCTAATAAAAGAGTGTCCTATATACAAACTGGTGAGCTTTCTTGGGCAGCATCGGCAGGAATCGCGAAAACGCACGACGCCATTTTTCGTTGTTAAAAGTTACGTCACCTCTTTGCAATATAATAGACGGTTGAACTTGGTGTCCTTACCGAAATTCCAAATACTTATCGGTGCGCAAAAAAAGTGCGAAATAAATTCTAAAATTTAATGCGCTAGGTAGTGTGTTCATCATCGCCGTAGCTAAGTTTTTATTAAGTACTAACTGTGGTGATCTGACTTTTATTATAGCCCAGACAGCCCCGAATTTCAAGACTGCAGAACGCGACCAGATTCCAGATAGGTAAAAAAACAACAAATGCAATAAGAGAGTGAACATGACTACACGTGATCAGGTGTCATCAGTGAAAGTCGGTAACGCGCGTCGGTCGCATTTGTTTTTTGCGTCCGAACTCTCCGAAGCTTATTTTAAAGGCTGCATCTATAGGTACCCTGGTACCTATAGTAGCAAAGAACTATTCGCACCCGGAGTGGCTCGGTAAAGATTAAATGGCTTCGGAGTCGGGTGTGATAACATTCATAACAATAATAGTATGAGAATTATTTTTTTTTCTTTTTGTTATTTCATAGATTCAGAGTTTTATTCTTTTTAGTTGTTTTATGTTTTGTTTTCTTATGTTTGCTTTGTTAATTTCTCTTAGGACGGGTAGATTTTTTTTCTTTCTTATTTTATTTTTTAGTTTATGCCATTTTCGTAGATCATTTTTTTTTTTAAATCTAGTAATGAAGTTGATTTAGATACATTTATTGTTTTCATTTGAATTTTAGAGAAGTAATAATATTAATTTAATTATTAAAATTAAATCCTTTATTTAAGATTATTTATGTGTATTGTTTAAGTTAAAAGATTTAATCACATAGTAATTTATGAATTAATTAGGTATTCTAAATAATGAAAATTTCATTCATAATGAATTAATTTCAACTATTCCTCTAGAGAGCTTGGCTTGGTCAGAACAAAACCACCAATTTTAAACTTTTTCCTTGGCACTGGGAGTCATACATGGGGACACTGACTGTTTTTCCTGATATCTCGAATCTCCTTTCAACAACTTTCTCATTTGACTTGACCTAATTCACAAGGTAGTTGCAATGACCATCTTAAAGTTAAAGCTAAAGGATGCCATTGTATAAAGTATGAGAAGGACTTATTTTTGGAGGACTTGTCTTTTTTTTTTTACCATATCTGTCTACTGGGTCTAACACACTGGTACATAATTTAAAATTGAATAGAAAAAAACAACCTTAATTGACATTTTTTGTTTGGCTGTTAGTTATTTGAGTTGTGTACTCAAGTAATCCATAAAATAAATTAGGGGCCAGTAAGGAGTAGGCAGCCAATAAACTCATTCAATTAGGCCACATCAGTCCTTTGCCATTTGTCTCCTTTTTCTTTCTCACATTCCTTGTTGGTACCCGTACAGTTAACTATTGTTTGTATCAATTCTTCATCTAAGTACAGATGTAATGATTGAGTGCGAGCAAATATATGTGATCTGTGAAGGGAGTTTGGTTTCAAGGCAACTAAGTCATGCCACATTGAAAATAAAATACTGATAACCCTAAATAAATAGAGCCATTGAAAAAAATATAGTACATACAAACCATACACAGACAGAAAGACAAAAATCCACTAAAGTTTATTTTTAAAAAAATTTGTTGTGACTTTTATTGCAAAAAATTAAACATTTTATACCAATTTTGACTTTTACGCAAAATGAATAAAGACAACTTTGTATTGCACTGTATTGTAACTTATTCAACTTATTGTACTGTATTGTAAATGAAACTTGGCATAAACATTAAGAATACCATTGACAAAAAGTTTAATGAAGCTTATTACACAGCAGTTATTGGAAGAGTTACAAATGGCATGTATGTGGGGGTCACATAAATATTTGAGAACTCTTCAGGAGTAGCAAATGTAAAAATGTTATAAAACTTTTCTAGTTGAATATACCCGGTATATAAAAAAAGCCTCTTGAATTTGTAAAGAATATCAATGAAAAGAAGCATGCAATGTTTGAAGGCTGTAGCTAGAAAACTTTTCCTCCCGATTCATTTGGCGTTCCTAAAAAATCCGGAAAATGCAAAAATTGAGAAAAATGAAAAAAAATTATAAAATTGTGTTTTTTTTAATTAGAGGGCTGCATGAACGATATAGGATGCATACGCCATGTACATGTACCATTCATGAATTAAAAAACAATTAGAAAACTAAGACAGAAAAGATAGAAACAAAAATAACACACGAACCTAATATAAAAAATACATAAATAAAAAAATTCTGAAAAATTTTCCTTTGAGATATTTGTTTAAAAACCATCCATCATTAAGTAGAGAATGTCAATATAAATAACCATGCAAAGTTTCAATTATGCAGTTCCAAAACTATTCCTCCTGATTCATCAATTGACGTCAGAAAAAAAAATGAAAATGCTATATCGATAAAAGCTGAAAAAGACACTGGCAAATGCTTATTAAAAAAATTAAAGGATACTTGAACAACATTGGATGCATACATCATGAACATATTCCACTCGTTAATTTAAAAAAACAAAACAATTTAAGTACATAGATATAATTGATAGAATATAAATGAATGCATTTTCCCAACAACCCTCTAGCCTCGAGCCTAACAAAAATAATAAGATCATAAAAACTTCGGAATTTTGTTTATGAGACATGTAATAAAAAAAAACATCAATCATTTTGTAGAGAATATAATAGAAAAAACCTTGCACATTTTGAAGCATGTGGTAATAATACTTTTCCTCATAGTACATTTGACGTCAGAGATAAATGGAAAATCCTAAGTGGACCGCTTTGAAAAGAGAAAAAAAATCAATTAAGCAATATTAGAAATATAGGAGTCAAATAAAAATGAAATTTAAAGCATATCAATGTGAAATTATCATAAAAGATAAGAATTTTCTAGATATTTTTACAAATGTTAAACAATATTGTTGAACATGTTAATGTTTTTTAATAAGAAATCAATAGCCGCAGTTTAGGAAACAAAAATCTGGCCAAGAAATATAATGAAAATGGTTACTTACACAATTTTGTAAAATAATTTTCAGCACATTAAAAACATTTACATATTTATAAAATTAGCTGAAATCTTTTGGAACCCATCATTGCGAATTAGCAGTGAATTTACAAGAACAAGTCAAGAATGACGATTATCTCAGCAAGGCCTTTTCAAACCCAGTTGTTGGGTTCAGCTGTCTATGTTCTATATACCGGTATTCACTTTTTTGCGTGTTAACTTGTCCGTTGGTTCACTAGACCTGTGTTTGGATGTGTTATGGTGAGTTGTGGGTTTAATTACAGAAATCTGCTTAAAGTAGGCCTACACCTATACACGGGTAAGCCGCGGCGACTGCGTCACAGCCTTACTAAACAGAAACATGGCAAAGCTGTGGAGGCCACGTCGCTCTAGCTATGCTGACGTATTACTTTAGTGTATCAGACCATGACTTTGGTAATCAGCAGACCAGACCAGGGAAACGGCGCATGGGCAAAAAAAAGGTGCGAAGCGAGAGACTCGGCTACGTCATAGAATTCCACCAACAACAGAGAGCGACCAATTTCCAAGCGTTGGGTGATGTGTAACGTGTCCTCATCATGAGCAGACCTGGGAAACGTTACAAGCGGACCAGGGGTTATGTTGCGATATGTTAACTAGAAAGTTGTGCCACCCACTACCACTAAGTTAAAAAAAACAAAAAACTTCTTCTTCTTCTTATATTTGAGGTGCCCACGATCAATTTGTTGATCATTCTGGCTCCTGGTTTAAATTCAGAGTTTGCCTTCTCTTAGATGGGTTGCCGTCCAAGGCTAGCGAGTCCCATCCACCCGGGGTGCTTGGGATGATTTGCTTTTTTTGGTGGGGATTGAACTCCAGACCACCAGCTGTTTGGTTTGAGACCGTTTAGACCGCTCGGCCACCCAGCACCCAGCACTTGGGGGGGGGGGGTTGGTTAAGGCTAATTTGCTCCTTTCGACATGTGCTTTGATATAGAGATAGTTTTTTTCCATCTTTTTAATATTTTTTAATCCTTTATATTTGTTTCACTTTTTTTTTAATGGTTGGGTGGCTGGTTGGTCGACTGACTGACTGGCTGGTTGCTTGGCTGAATGACTGGCTGGTTGGTTGGCTGGCTGACGAGCTGGTTTGTTGGCTGACTGACTGGCTGGTTTGTTGGCTGGCTGGCTGGTTGGTCGACTGACTGACTGGCTGGTTGGTCGACTGACTGACTGGCTGGTTCGTCGACTGACTGACTGGCTGGTTGGTCGACTGACTGACTGGCTGGTTGGTCGACTGACTGACTGGCTGGTTGGTCGACTGACTGACTGGCTGGTTGGTCGACTGACTGA